CCTGGGCTGTGAAATCCCAAGGCTCTTCCCTTTGAACGACCTGGTCTGGCCCAGCCAGGTGAGAGCCACTGAGGACAGCCCCTGTGGGGCTCAGCCTCGGGCTGCCTGGCGTGGGGAAGCGCCCTGGCCCTGGACGCACCTGCAGGATGAGGACGAAGTAGTCCACAGGCCGGTTGCGCTGGTAGAGATAGTGCTCCACGGCCTGCTTGTTCTTATGGTCGTACTTCAGCTCCTGGATGACGTTGGGGTGTTTGAGGAGCCTCAGCAGGATCTTCTCCGAGAGGCAGGGAGATTTGAAGGGTTCGATTTCTAGGGGGAAGAGAGGAGATGGACTCCACCTATCCCACGGCCCTTTCCGCGTGGGAAATCCCAGCAGGGCAGGGCTGAGCAGGCCCCGTGTGCTCACTCCGCCCAGTCAGGAGACGCTGCCTGGGATGCTCGCGTTCCCCCTGACGCTGCTGGCAAAGCGCTCAGGGATCATAACTTCACCCAGGCAGATGACCAGCATAGGCGCCGACTTCTGCTCCCGCCGGTGGGTGCTCGACCCCCCCTTTCTGCCCCCGGCCCCGCCCTGACTCCACCCCTGCCCCGCCCCCTCCTGCCCCTGCCTCACCCCCATTCCCCAAAGTCCCCGCCCCAACTCCATCCTCTCCCTGCCCCTATTCCGACTCCTTCCCCAAATCCCCGCCCTGGCCCCACCTCTTCCCCGCCTCCTCCCCTGAGCACGCCATGCTCCTGCTCCTCCCCCCCCCCCGAGCAGCCAAACAGCTGTTTGGCGGCAGCTGGCGGGAAGCGCTGGGAGGTAGACGGAGGAGGAGGAAGTGGGGTTGGTGGAGGGGCTTGGCTGCCAGTGGGTGCAGAGCACCCACTAATTTTTCCCCATGGGTGCTCCAGCCCTGGAGCACCCACGGAGTCGGCGCCTATGATGACCAGGGACAGGAGAGAGGGGGGCCTTGGTTTGGTATCTCACTCAGGTGATGGGGCCTTCCACAGCAGTGTCCCCCCGTGGTGCCCTGGGCCAGGACTGGGAGCCAAATCCAAGCCCCCGAGCTGGGGAGTCTGTGACCCCCATGGGTCCGAGTCCCCAGGAAGGAGGTGAAAGGGGAACCCCTCCTTGGGGGGAAGGAAGCGGATGAAATCCACGAGGCAGCAGAGCACAAGACCCTGGTGGTGGAGAGTTGGCAATACTGTGGGGAGGGTCCTGAGAGCCCCCAGGGCACTTGTGCTTGGGGGTGTTGGGCCTCCGTCCACGAGGCACGAGGGGGCGCTGGTACCTGATGCCATGAAGCGGTGCGCGGCCAGCAGCAGCTGAGGGGAGATCTTCACCTTCATCTCACTGTCTGAGAGCCTGAAGATGGAGAAGTCGTGCGGCTTCCTGCCTTGGTGCAGCGCCCTCTCCTTCTTTCGGTTGTCTGCTGCAGGGGTGGAGAGCGGCACGGTTACGTGCCTGGGACAATACTGATTAAGGTCAGCTTGGAACACAACTGAACCTCGAATTACACCAGTGTAGCCGAGACCTGAGACATTTAAACTGTGCTCGTCCCCACGGCGTCTGAGCAGCTGAGATTGGAGCCTAGCTGCTGCCTCCAGACCCACAGGGGCCAGCCGGAAGATCTAGACCTGTTTGGTCCCCTCCAGTCCATCCCTGCCGCCCAGCTGCCAGGGCCGGATTGTTCCCTTCAGGCTGTTTTCTAGTGCCTTGGCCAGTCCAGTTCTAAAAGATCCAAGCAATGGAGCTCCCACCCCGCCCTGAGGAGACAGTTCCCCAGCCAGATCCACCCTCCTCTCGGGAATTTCCCTCGATACCTGCAAGTCTGTGCACTGAAAGCACCGGGCCGAGTCAGTCAGCACTTACATTGCTCCCTTCCCGTACAGCCGAGGGACCACGCCAGGCAGAGGGGCCTGTGACATGCAGTGCGACTGCGCCGTACACAGAGCGTCTGCAGGTGAGGTGCCAGAATCACAGGAGGGCAAGGATGGGTCTCAGGCTGTGCTTGTTATTTTCATGACGCATGCTCTGTGCTGTAGAGGACACGCAGGGCCTGTGGGGAGTGGCGGCGCAGGACGGATACATTCCCCTCCTCAGGAAATTAATTCCTGGCTGCTCAGGCTGACTCTGTTTCTCTAGGCAAGCTGTCTGTCTAATCTAGCTAGCTAGGCCCTATCCTGGCTCCCCTCATCACAGTATCTGGTCTGGGACACTGACTGTAAAGGTCTGTCTCATCCAGGATCTCGGACTTGATGATCTCTTCAATGACATCCTCCAGCGTGACGATCCCCATCACCTCATAGAACGGGTCTCCTTCCCCTTCGTTGTTCACCCGCTGCACGATGGCCAGGTGCGATTTACCTGTCGAAAGGGAACAGAACAGGAATGGAATCCCCCGGCAGCTGGGGGGGCTTCTGGGCGGCATCGTTCTCCACCCAGGCCTCAGCAGGGAGACTCCCTAGGCCGATGGGGCCGAGGGACCGAAGTGTCCCTTCCTAGGCCCGCGTTCTCTCTGCCAGATGGGCTCCTCAGGAAATACCCGGGCATGGAGAGCAGCTCGTGAGCTCTTTGCCAGCAGGCGGTGAGGTGATACCTCAGACCTGCTGCACGAGGGTTGCAGAAAGGCAGCAGGTGAGCACAGCACTGCCATAGCTAGGCGATCTGGGCTGGTACAGAACCTGACCCAGAGCTCCCCCACTCTGAGCACCAGCCCGGAGCTCGGTGGGAGGCGCGGCTTGGCGTGGGCCTTGGGAGCAGGACAAATAACAAACCAGAACTGTGGCCGTGCCCTGCCTTGGAGCCCCCATCTAAGAAAACTAGCAGGAGGCAGAGGATGAGGAAGAGGGATAAAGCACCCAGTGAAACCAGACATGATTCACACAGAACATGCCGAGCGTCAGACTCCCCTGCACTGAGCCCCCGGCGCCGGTGGGCTGATTTCTTGCAGGAGTTGTGGGAGTCTCTTCCTCGCTCCTACTCTGGGTCATTTGCTCCGACTTTAGGGCCCAAGTTTTCAAAAGAAGCTGCTCTGTCTGAGTGCCCCACTTGAGATACTGGGCACTGATCTTCAGAGATGCTGAGCGCCCACTGGCAGCTGCTGTACATGCTCAGCCCTTCTGTGGCGCCCGTTGGGCTCCCAGGGGTGAATGCTCTTGCAACGTTGGTCTGGGTTCCTTAGTGCTCAGTAGCACACTCAGAGGCCCTTCTGGTCACAGGCAGGTGCAGCGATGACCCATGCCACACAGGATATGGGGATAACCGGGGACCCCACTCTCTTGCTGCGAAGTCTGACTGCCACTTGGATTTGCTTTATACCTGTGACCGATTGTGCCAACCCTTGCCCAGCTGGGAGCGAAGGGGTTAAATCCCTTCATGGGGTGTGAGAAGGCAGAGGCATTAGCCAGGCCTGAGGGAAAGGCCTTCAGCGGAGCCTGTGCCTCGGGGCCGGTGGTCAGGCTGCTCTGAAGCCGGGGTTCTGTGCTTGCTTGGGCTGCAATGTCAGGGGGATCGGTTCGCTTTCCTTCTTGCCAGAGCCTTTGAGTTACGCTGCCATGGAAAGAACAGGCCAGGCAGCTACAAGGGGAAACCTGAGAAGCCGCACCTGGCCTGGAGGAGAAAGGTGCCTGTTTAAGGTACCCGGGAGCCCTTCCTACCCCTGCTTTCAGTGGGCGAATGAGACCCTCCTGCAGGGCCCTTCTCTACTGTTGGCCAGATGGCAGGAATCTGCTGATGCGTCTGACCAGTGGCGAGGATGCCGGGGGCCCGGGCCCCGATCCTGAGCCTGGCTGGGAGCACAGCCCTCTTGGGTGGGGAGTGGGTTAGGTCACCCCACAGTGACCCACTGGCAAACTGAAGCCTCAGGCCTGACTGAACCTGGTTCCCTGGGAAAAGCTGAATCCCGTGAGCACCCGCGGGCAGGCGCAAGCCGGGCCAGCGCTGGGCACGGACAGAGCCCGTGTAACTCACTAGCGAGCTGCGGGAGGGTGGGCAGTTCTACTCTACTCACATCGGGACTCTAACGTGCTCAGCCTTGAGAATTACAAGGCTACCCAGCCCTGCTCCACCCGTAACCCTCTTACCGCTCTCGCCCCCAGACCAAGTAAAGGCACCCGCATCTCTGCTGTGTGCACAAGATGACAACAAAGCACTTCCGAGGGGGGACAGGCTGCCCTGCACCCAACGGAAAGCAACGCGGTGTTACCTGGCTGGGGGAGAGGCTGCACAGCACAGACCACAGGCTGAACGGCAGAGCCGAGTATTTCGGAAATGCCCCATTGTGCAGCTTTCTGACCCAGCTGGGGATGGCTGGCACTGCACCCCATCCGACTGCACCCGTTAAGTCCCGTGCGCCCTACAGCCACCTCCTTATCTCCCTAATAAGAGGGGAGGGGAAAGGAACAGCCAGGATGCACGCTTCCTGGGGAAGAAATCTAGACAGATTTGTTAAGCCTCTGTGCTTCTTTTACTGCTTCTTCCTCAAATGGGCGGGGCGTGAGGGCTGGGTCTGATGCTGTGCTGGGATCTGTAGGAAGCCCCAGTGCCCTCCTGGAGGAGATCTAGGTTCAGTGACGTTCCGCTGCTGCCGAAGCAGAGGAATGCGAGAAGTAGGAGCTTGGGACAGACTGTCTAGAGTGGGGACTGAGCAGTGACAACTCCCCTCCCCAATGGACACTGAGCTGGGAAACCCGCCAGCTCCAAACCAAAGGAAAGAGAGATGGAGAGAATCACAGGAACTGTCAGGCTAGGTTAGACCTGAGGTCCATCCAGTCCAGCATCCTGTCTCTGAGAGTGGCCAGAACCAGATGCCCTAGATGAAGGTGCAAGAAACTTCACATTAGGCAGATTTGGGATCATTTCCCCTCTCCCCCCACGCATTAGCTCGCCTCCTGAGGCCTAAAGATCGGCTTAAGCCCTGGAGCACTAGACTTAATATCCCTTCCAAAGTGCGTTAACATTAACTGCTATAACTGTGATTATTCTTATTATCCATGTAAATGTACAATCTCGTTTTTAATCTTGCTAAGTTTGTGACCTCAGTGACTTTATGTGGCAGTAAGTTCCACGGACTAATTACACATTACGTGAAAAAGTATTTCCTTTTATCAGTTTTGAATTTGCTATCTGTTAATTACACTGACTGTCCCCTTGTTCTTGTATTATCAAACACACAGAATCTATCTTCTCTATAACACTCATCATGTTATGAACTTTTGTGATGTCCCCGTTTATTCATCGCCTTTCTAAGAGTCTTCCTAGGGCCCTAATAACTTTTGTTGCCTTTCTCTGAATCCCCTCTAATTTTGCAGTATATGTTTTCAGCTGAGTGACCGGTCCTGCACACAGTATCCGGCTCAGGCAGCACCAATAATTAAAAGGCATTATAGTATTTTCTGTTATTCCCCTTCCCACTCCTTATGCACCGTAGCATCTCATTAGCTTTTCAGCTCACACCTACACAGAGCTCTCCATTCTGCTGTCTGCAGTGACATCCTGGTCCCTTTCCTGAACTGATACAGGTAATTTAGAACCCTGTAAGGTGTAAGAGTAGTTTAAATTTTTCTCTCCAATAAATGCATTACTTGCATTTATCAATGCTGAACTTCATTTATCTTTGTGTTTTCCCTTTCCCTTAACTTGGTCAGGTCCCTCTGAAGTTCCTCATAATTTTCTCTGGATTTGACTGACCTGAATAACTTTGTGTCATCTGGAAATGCTGCTACCTCGCTGCTCACCCCCTTATTTAGATCATTAATAAATATATTAAACAACACAATATGGAACCCTGATGCCCCCTCTATTCACCTTTTGCCAGGGTGAAAAAAGACCATTTACTTCTACACTTTGTTAGCTGTCTCCTAGCCAGTTTCTGAACCAGGACAATACTTTCCCTCACACCCCATGGGGACTTAGCTTCTTGGATAGCCTGTTGTGCAGGACCTTGTTGAAGGCCTTTTGAAAGTCCAAGTATGTTATGTCAGGTGGTTCTCCCTTATCCACAACTCTACTGACCTGATTAGCGAATTGTAACCGATTAATGAGAGGCAGTTTCCCTTGGCAGAAACTGTGCTGTCAGGCCCTGTTGTAGCATGATCTTGTAGGTGTTTCATTATTCTGTTTTTAATGATTGGTTCAGTCAGCTACAACTCTAAGGGTTTGGAGTCTGCAACTCCTTGGATTGGCCCTAGAGCCTTTTTTTAAATACAGGTTCAACATTAGCTACCCTCCAAGCCCCTGGGACAGGGGCCGATTTTAGTTAGCAGTTTAGCCACTTCATACTTTGGCTCCTTCAGAACCTTTGGATGGACCATTTTGGCCTGGGGACTTACTGCTTTTTCAAGGACCTCCCGGTTCTTCTGACATCTCAGTCTCTGAAAGAACCTCATCTTCGTTATTATAAAAGAGCCGGCTGGGGATGGAATTTCCCCTGTGATGAAGACTCCTGCAAAGAAATTATTCCATCTCCCAGCAACGTCTTTGTCTTCCTTAATTGCTCCGTTTAGCCCCAGTGATCCAGCAGCTGCACTGATTCTTTGTAGGCTTCCTGCTTCTGATAAGTCTGAAACATTTATTTGCTCTTATACCTTTAGCTCTTTGCTGCCTGGAAGCCATCGTGGCCTCCCTAATTTCCCTCTAGCACATTGCCTGCTGTAATTCATGCTCCTGTTTCAGAGCTTCACTTCCAAATGTCGAAGGATTTCTGCTTGGCATCAGTAGCCTCTTGAACCTGCCATTTAGGTCTACTGGTTTTACTCTTTGATTTCCTGGTTCACTTTTGGTTCAGCAGCACACGTGCCTTCTGAGACCACTGGTTTTTGTTTTTTTTAATAGCACCTAAGCCACAGCTAAGGGTTTTACTTTATTTTTAACTTTAGGGCCTTTTTGACTGGCCCTTTCATTTTATTGAAATCTCCCTTTCTAAAGTTCCGAGTCACCGTGTCACTTTTTGGTTCCCTCCTGCCCCCGTATGTTGAATCCATCTCTGTTGTGGTCACTGTTACTTAGTGACTGGACTACTGTTAATTCTTGAGTTAGTCTTAAGTTATACACTGGAGTTAAGTCAAGAACAGCCTCTCCTCTCCAGAGAGACATGCCGGAAATGGGCCATTTTCATTACCACTACAAACAGTTCTTTTTCTCTTCTGCTGATAAAAACTCACCTTAACTGATCACTCTCCTTATAGTGTGTATGGTAACACCCATTGTTTCATGTTCTCTGTGTCTATATATAATCTTCCTACTGTATTTTCCACTACATGCATCCGATGAAGTGGGCTGTAGCCCACGAAAGCTTATGCTGAAATAAATGTGTTAGTCTCTAAGGTGCCACAAGTACTCCTGTTCTTTCTGCGGATACAGACTAA